CACTGAAACCTGACTCCTCCACCACTGCCTCCCCTAGGAAGCGGGAGATAGAGGGGGAGATGAGCAGTGGGACAGGTGTGATGAGTCATCAGGATGGGACAGGTGTGATGAGTCATCAGGATGGGACAGGTGGGATGAGTCATCAGGATGGGACAGGTGGGATGAGTCATCAGGATGGGACAGGTGTGATGAGTCATCAGGATGGGACAGGTGGGATGAGTCATCAGGATGGGACAGGTGTGATGAGTCATCAGGATGGGACAGGTGGGATGAGTCATCAGGATGGGACAGGTGTGATGAGTCATCAGGATGGGACAGGTGGGATGAGTCATCAGGATGGGACAGGTGGGATGAGTCATCAGGATGGGACAGGTGTGATGAGTCATCAGGATGGGACAGGTGTGACCCCCCCCAGAGGGAAGAGGGTGAGGACCCAGACGCCGAGGGCCCTCGCTCTGCAGGAGGAAACCAGGGCCAAGGTGAGGACCCCCACTCTAATTATTATAATCATTTTACTGAGAAAGACCGGCCACGCATCATTTGAGTTACACATTTTCATCTCCAGAATATATTTGAGTGATGCTGTTCTGCTCTCTGACTCCTCCCCCTCTCTGACTCCTCCTCCTCTCTGACCCCTCCCCCTCTCTGACCCCTCCCCCTCTCTGACCCCTCCTCCTCTCTGACCCCTCCTCCTCTCTGCCCCCTCCCCCTCTCTGCCCCCTCCTCCTCTCTGACCCCTCCACCTCTATGACTCCTCCTCCTCTCTGCCCCCTCCCCCTCTCTGCCCCCTCCTCCTCTCTGACCCCTCCACCTCTATGACTCCTCCCCCTCTCTGACCCCTCCTCCTCTCTGACCCCTCCTCCTCTCTGCCCCCTCCCCCTCTCTGCCCCCTCCTCCTCTCTGACCCCTCCACCTCTATGACTCCTCCCCCTCTCTGCCCCCTCCTCCTCTCTGACCCCTCCTCCTCTCTGCCCCCCTCCCCCTCTCTGCCCCCTCCTCCTCTCTGACCCCTCCACCTCTATGACTCCTCCCCCTATCTGACTCCTCCCCCTCTCTGACTCCTCCTCCTCTCTGCCCCTCCCCCTATCTGCCCCTCCCCCTCTCTGACCCCTCCCCCTCTCTGACCCCTCCTCCTCTCTGCCCCCTCCCCCTCTCTGCCCCCTCCCCCTCTCTGACCCCTCCTCCTCTCTGACCCCTCCACCTCTATGACTCCTCCCCCTCTCTGACTCCTCCTCCTCTCTGCCCCTCCCCCTCTCTGCCCCTCCCCCTCTCTGACCCCTCCCCCTCTCTGACCCCTCCCCCTCTCTGACCCCTCCTCCTCTCTGCCCCCTCCCCCTCTCTGCCCCCTCCCCCTCTCTGACCCCTCCTCCTCTCTGACCCCTCCACCTCTATGACTCCTCCCCCTATCTGACTCCGCCTCCTCTCTGTTTCAGGATGAAGCCAGGAGGAAGAGGAGCGCTTCTTCTCCTCGTAAGAAGCGCTCCTCTTCCTCTAAACAGGAAGTGGTCCCAGTACTCCCCCTCCCCTTCTATCTGCAGCCCATGTTGGTGTTGACCCCCGGTGGGCTGGTCCAAGTGGCACAAGCCCCGCCCCCTGACCCACAGCTAACACAGGCCCCGCCCCCCTTCGTCCAGCTAACACAGGCCCCGCCCCCTGGTCTACAGCTAACACAGGCCCCGCCCCCTGGCCCACAGCTAACACAGGCACCGTCCCCCTTCCTCCAACTAACACAGGCCCCGTCCCCCTTCCTCCAACTAACACAGGCCCCGTCCCCCTTCCTCCAACTAACACAGGCCCCGCCCCCCTTCCTCCAACTAACACAGGCCCCCACCCTCTTCCTCCAGCTAACACAGGCCCTGCCCCTAACACAGGCCCCGCCCCCCTTCCTCCAGCTAACACAGTCCCCGCCCCCCGGCCTACAGCTAACACAGGCCTCGCCTCCCAGACTGCAGCGAACACAGGCCCCGCCCCCCTTCCTCCAGTTAACACAGGCCTCGTCCCCCATCATTAAGCCCCTCCCCAACCACTTTCTGCCATATAAGGGCGCGGCGGTGCTGCAGTTTGACTCATCCCTCATGTTCCTGGAGTCGCAGGAGGAGGTGCGTGATTGGCTGAGTGGACGAGGGGGCGTGGCAGCTCCTGGGGGGCGGGGCCTCCCTTACCTACCGCCCTCTGTCAGCAGTGTGAGGGCACTCAGTGCGCTGCTGAGGGCCCGCATGTCTCTGAGCAACAGCTCCACGAGGCCCGTGCCCCTACGCCCCCCCGCCACACCTGAGAGGGGAGGGGGGCATCTGGGCTCCACCCCCCCCCCTCAGAGACACGCAGGACGCTGTAGGTAAGAAACAGTTACTTTATTACTTTACTCTATTGTTATTGGTGGTATTATTATTTTTACTCGCCATCTTTCCTGTTTTTGAGGCCTTTAGGACAAAGTTGTATAATTTTGCACAGATTCCAGAATCGGTGAAAATTACAATATTCTGGACTCAATTTGTTAAAATATTCCAACTTGCTCACTAGCGCCACCTATCTCAATTCCATTTCGGAAAAATTCACAAAGTCGCACCGTAACTCCGAATGACCTGAAATTGTGCACACATATCCGGGTGCACCTGCTCTACAAATAATCCAATTGGAACCCTAAGCTCCGCCTACATTTTTTTTTTTAAATTGGCATAATTTACATACACAGTTAAATATTCACTTAAATTTCAATTTTCAGTTTATCAACACCAAACTTCGTATACAGCATCGTTGGAGGGTCCGACACATTTCCCGAGGAGATGAGCATGTTCAAACGATAAATATTTCTGCCATGAATTAAAACGTACTCGCAAAAAGGCGGGGCTTATAAAGAAATGCTCATAATTCATCAACAATGTATCCATTCACCACAGATTTTGGTGGAAACGTTCAGTCTGTCTTGGGGAATAGGCACACCAAAGCATTTTCATTTTGTACTATAGGGGACGCCAAAAACACCACCAATTTATAACTCAAGAGCAGATGGACTAATCTTTTTATTTATTTTTTACACATACTCTCGGGGCGACTACGAACTTAGATTCAAAGTGTCGAAACAAATGCAGAATGTGGGCGTGGCCTATACATTATTTTAAAATTGCGATAGCATAAAATGAGCTTCGGACGCAAAACTTTGGACACACGTCAGAGCCCAGGACCTTTTCGAGAATGTAAAAAAAAACGTACATTTTCAAAAAAACTGCTTACTAGCGCCCCCTATTGTGTGGTAGTCACATATAGTTTCTCAGAACTTCACGAATTTTGGCACAGACATTTCTCATGGAACTGCGGATATATTTGTAAATACATTCCATTAGCCCCCCCCCCCCCCAGAAAGTCGGCCATTTTGAAAAATGTGCGGTTTTCAGCCATTTTACGCACGTTCTTGCGAACTCCTCCTAGGGGAATGATCGGAAAAATTCCAATCCAGGACAAGTTCAGCCCATTTCCAATGTGATGTTAAATTGCGAAGGAATAGTCGATCGCTCAAACGAAGACTTCGTAAGCGAACAGAGAACTTTACATTTTTGACGATTTACATGTCACAAATTACTCCAAATGACTCCAATCTACTCGCGTATACTTTTTCCAATATTCACGAAACGCTGTATACATATTGCTATTATGATTGCATACATATTTCAAATTGCCTTCCATTAGCCCCGCCCACCAGAAATGTCCTTAAAATGCATGAAAAACGGCCATTTTGAAAAATGGCCGTTTTTCATGCATTTTAAGGACATTTCTGTAAACTCCTCATAGGGGAATGATCGGAACAATTCCAATCCAGGACAACTTCAGCGCATATCCAATGTCATGCTACATTGAGAAGGAATAGTCCTTCGCTCAAACGGGAAGCTCGTAGGCTAACGGAGAATGTACCATTTTTGACCAATTATATGTCAGATAACCTACTGAGGCCTGCCTGTTTGCCTGGCACATCAACTCTCACACACACACACACACACACACACACACACACACACACACACACACACACACACACACACACACACACACACACACACACACACACACACACCTACTGTTAGTCCAACAACACCCTTTGCTGGAGGCATATTCATTACAAAAGACACTCACTAACCCTAACCCTAACCCTAACCCTAATGTTTATTTGTAGATATCTCCTAAAGCCTACAGATAAAGTGTGACATGTAGGCCTGTTACATTTGTTATTGAGCGATATATATTATACACTGTTCTGCTTTCTGCACTGACCTCAGCAGCTGTTCTCACTGTAACATCACCTAACATCCAGGGCACATGTGATTAGTGAGTAAACAAACGGTAAAGGGCAGAAAGTCTGATGCACATTTGATCATCTCAAATAACTTATAATCACAACGGGAACAGTTTGCAGAGCTCTGCTTCGTTTGACAGAAGTCCAGACATGCGTCACGCCTCTTTTAAACATCACTGTTGGCTGAAATCGTCTCAGGAGAATACTTCAGTGTACCCTCGGTTACGGCTCCTCTAGAGACACTCCTCTCTCCTCTAAATCAGTGTATCCTCGGTTACGGCTCCTCCAGACAGTCTCCTCGATAATCGATCCTCGACGAGCCTTTAGAGACATTTGTTTTCCTTCGAGACGGCGCGCCGAAATCCGTTTCCGGGTCGCTGCCGGAGGACCTGGGAGTCTGGGACGCGAAATTATAGAAATGAGAAACGGCTCATTTCCTAGGACTCGCGCGCGTCTGCTTGACGCCGAGACGACCTGCCGCCCTCCCCGACAGGCGCACGGACGCGAGGACACAAGTGCGACCGCAGTTTTAATTATCTATTATTATTGTTAGAAAACTCTCCCTGGTCCCCGGCTTGAGCTTCAATCTCAGGATCCATGTATTTCTGATCCTCTCCAGAATGACATCACAATCACATACAGAGCATCAGCTAGTTCCTGAACAGTGTCCTTCACATGCTGATATCCAAGAGAGGGAGTTACACAGTCACAAGATGGAGCCTTGAGGAACCCCACATGTCACTCAGATGTGTATTGAACTATAGAAACACCTGTCCTTTAAATAGGCTTCAAACCAGTTTTAGAACACTGGGCTGGATTTACGGAAACAGTTCTAGTCGGTCTAGTGTTGTGCTCAACATCAGACTAGACCGACTAGAGCACTGGGCATAGCCTAACCCTTACCTCAACATCAGACTAGACCGACTAGAACACTGGGCATAGCCTAACCCTTACCTCAACATCAGACTAGACCGACTAGAGCACTGGGCATAGCCTAACCCTTACCTCAACATCAGACTAGACCGACTAGAGCACTGGGCATAGCCTAACCCTTACCTCAACAATCAGACTAGACCGACTAGAACACTGGGCATAGCCTAACCCTTACCCTCAACATCAGACTAGACCGACTAGAGCACTGGGCATAGCCTAACCCTTACCTCAACATCAGACTAGACCGACTAGAGCACTGGGCATAGCCTAACCCTTACCCTCAAACATCACAGCACTGGGCATAGCCTAACCCTTACCTCAACATCAGACTAGACGACTAGAGCACTGGGCATAGCCTAACCCTTACCTCAACATCAGACTAGACCGACTAGAGCACTGGGCATAGCCTAACCCTTACCTCAAACATCAGACTAGACCGACTAGAACACTGGGCATAGCCTAACCCTTACCTCAACATCAGACTAGACCGACTAGAGCACTGGGCATAGCCTAACCCTTACCTCAACATCAGACTAGACCGACTAGAGCACTGGGCATAGCCTAACCCTTACCTCAACATCAGACTAGACCGACTAGAGCACTGGGCATAGCCTAACCCTTACCTCAACATCAGACTAGACCGACTAGAACACTGGGCATAGCCTAACCCTTACCTCAACATCAGACTAGACCGACTAGAGCACTGGGCATAGCCTAACCCTTACCTCAACATCAGACTAGACCGACTAGAGCACTGGGCATAGCTTAACCCTTACCTCAACATCAGACTAGACCGACTAGAACACTGGGCATAGCCTAACCCTTACCTCAACATCAGACTAGACCGACTAGAGCACTGGGCATAGCCTAACCCTTACCTCAACATCAGACTAGACCGACTAGAGCACTGGGCATAGCCTAACCCTTACCTCAACATCAGACTAGACCGACTAGAGCACTGGGCATAGCCTAACCCTTACCTCAACATCAGACTAGACCGACTAGAGCACTGGGCATAGCCTAACCCTTACCCTCAACATCAGACTAGACCGACTAGAACACTGGGCATAGCCTAACCCTTACCTCAACATCAGACTAGACCGACTAGAACACTGGGCATAGCCTAACCCTTACCTCAACATCAGACTAGACCGACTAGAACACTGGGCATAGCCTAACCCTTACCTCAACATCAGACTAGACCGACTAGAGCACTGGGCATAGCCTAACCCTTACCTCAACATCAGACTAGACCGACTAGAACACTGGGCATAGCCTAACCCTTACCTCAACAGCCAGACTAGACCGACTAGAGCACTGGGCATAGCCTAACCCTTACCTCAACATCAGACTAGACCGACTAGAGCACTGGGCATAGCCTAACCCTTACCTCAACATCAGACTAGACCGACTAGAACACTGGGCATAGCCTAACCTTTACCTCAACATCAGACTAGACCGACTAGAGCACTGGGCATAGCCTAACCCTTACCTCAACATCAGACTAGACCGACTAGAGCACTGGGCATAGCCTAACCCTTACCTCAACATCAGACTAGACCGACTAGAACACTGGGCATAGCCCAACCCTTACCTCAACATCAGAACTAGACCGACTAGAGCACTGGGCATAGCCTAACCCTACCTCAACATCAGACTAGACCGACTAGAACACTGGGCATAGCTTAACCCTTACCTCAACATCAGACTAGACCGACTAGAGCACTGGGCATAGCCTAACCCTTACCTCAACATCAGACTAGACCGACTAGAGCACTGGGCATAGCTTAACCCTTACCTCAACATCAGACTAGACCGACTAGAGCACTGGGCATAGCCTAACCCTTACCTCAACATCAGACTAGACCGACTAGAACACTGGGCATAGCCTAACCCTTACCTCAACATCAGACTAGACCGACTAGAGCACTGGGCATAGCCTAACCCTTACCTCAACATCAGACTAGACCGACTAGAACACTGGGCATAGCCTAACCCTTACCTCAACATCAGACTAGACCGACTAGAACACTGGGCATAGCCTAACCCTTACCTCAACATCAGACTAGACCGACTAGAACACTGGGCATAGCCTAACCCTTACCTCAACATCAGAC